TCCCAACGTGACTTGCGTTAACTGAAAACCAGTGTCAGAGTGTGTGTGTGTGTGTGTGTGTGTGTTCGATGTCGCTTTTGCGCAGATTTTGCGGTCCATCTCCTGGACAACCCTGCAAGCAGTTGTAAGTTGTATCATGATGATGTATGATGTATAATTGTATGTTTTCTTCCAGATTCAGGAGAAGTTGATCATCAAATCCTGGTCGATCTTGAAAGAAAGAACTAAACACCGGCTCGAACCATTCATTCGAGCCGGGGCCAACGCACCGGCTCGAGCCGTTCTGTCTCAAGGCTTTCAGACAAGCTTTTGCTGCAGCTAGAGGCGGATGCCGCTTGGGTGAAGAGCGCTCGACCACAATGCGTCCACCGAAGCCGAGAAAGGAAGCGAGGGAGTGGGGTCCTACAAAGAACACATGAGAGTTGTTTTTTGAAATCGCCTTCGCGGAGGCTACGCGAGGCCGTTTTTGCTGAAGGGTAGGCTACGTGAGGTCGCTTTTACTGCAAAGGTAGGCTGCGCGGTGCCTAATAGTTCCCCCTATGCGAAGGCTACGCAAAGCTATAAAACTGCAAACGTAGGCTTCACGGTGGCTACGCGCTACAGTTGCTCACATGAAAGAAAACACCTCAATAAGCCGGCGAACGCGGGGCCGCTTGGAGCAATCGTGAAGAAGTTCGTTGGGTGTTCGACTTAAGAGGATCTAGTGTCATGGATCAGGATGGAGAAGTGTATCATCAGCGTGTTGTTTCACACGAAGGAAGCCCCTGAATGCCCATTTCTTTACTAGGTCCTGTGGTCAGAGTGATTGGGGGTGGTTGACTGAGACCTAAAAAGAAAGCGTGATTGAACGATGTGTGTCTCCTCCCAAGGCCAATCGCATTGATGCAGCCTTCATCCGATTTGACTACAGCGGAAGTGGCACGTTGGATGCATCTGAAGTTGCGGCCATGCCACTGGGCAATCAGGCGGCGCGAAGTTCGGAAGGGGTGTTTGGGCAAAACCACGAGAACGGCCCAAAACAATCGGATTGGTGAAGGATTTTTGCAAATGTCATGATTAATTTGCTTATAGTTTGGGGAGGTTGCATTTCACTGATTATGTGTGTAATGATGGGGTGACAGCTCCACCCTTTTGCAGAGATCCGATAGAAATCGACCGGTTCGCAGCACGTGGATCCGAATGGGGACCCCACAACACCACGGAGCGCGGAGCGCGTTCGCAGATGTAAGCAGTGTTCCATCTCAAGGGATCTCAAGGGACGACCTGTGGCCGTGCGAACGTCGGTGTCGGACGCGTCAGCGAAACGCCGCCACCAGCTGGGTGAACCCTCCAATGCTTGGGGGTCGTTCAATCGAGAGTTCAGTCGGTGGTGGTCGGTTCACCCAGCCGTCCAGTGGTGACAGGACGGAGGTCTCGAAGCGATTCAGCTGAAGAACGGATGCCGCGCATGCCATGAATTGGAAGAAGACCGTTTGGCCACATGCAAACCTGGTGGCAAATACAGCTCGCATGTTCAGATCTGTCGACAAGCAGAAGAGGCCATATCCAAGAAACCATACAACATAGCAAGAAACATCCTACACCCCTGCAGTCTTTGCGTGCCTTTGCCTATGAGTACTGGTTGTTACCTCCCAAAGACAATGCTAAGCTGGCTCAGCATGTTTGTTCCTGCCATGCCTCAAGTCGTCGCCCAGGTGCGCTCATCACCATGTTTCAATCACGTCGAGCACGGTTGGCACGACGCAGCGGGCGGGCGCGACGGCGCGACCGTACGTCGCGACCGAGGTTCCAATACCTGGGCTTTCCGAATCCCGAAGAGGCCGAGAACTCGGGAGATGTCGGTTCGGGAGAGATGGACGGAGTGTAGGAGAAAGTGTGTAGAACGAAGAAGAAGAAGAAGAAGAATATTTTTTTTCCAGAAGCATATACAACTCTAAAACTGGTGGGCACATTCAGTGAAGGGTAGCAGACATTCGGTTCTGATTGAGGTGACATGAAATGGAAGTTCACGGGGCAACCTGGCTATGCTCTGGGGAAAACCAATGGTTTCAATTTTGCCAAGCAATGTGCCAAATTCATCCAGATGGCCTTCTCATGCCTTCTCCACAAGTCTCCAAAGGTTGTTACACAGCTCAACTGGCGCAACTATGACTTCGTCAAGGTGTTGGTCCACAACAACCACAACAACCACAACCACAACAACCACAACAACCACAACCACAACAACCACAACCACAACCACAACCACAACCACCAACCACAACACCAACAGCAACAACAACAACAGCAGCAGCAGCAACAACAACATCAATCACCATCGTGGTAATTTCTACTTGTTGACCCCAAGAATTCTTCGCAGCTTCACCTCCCATCCCTTCAGAATTGCGAAAAACACCGGGCAGGATGATGGAGTCAAAGCACTCGTCAAGAAGTTGGACAAGGAACACGGTGGCAGCGGTTGGCGTCGCAGGGAATGTCGCGCGGTGTCGTGTTGCGTTATTCAGCTGACTCAGGTGGCGCGGATTTTGGGAGCGTGGTGGTGTTTGGGTGACAGCTGGCAGATTCTCCATGGGACTAAACGACTCAACAAACGACTAAACTGCGTCAGCGTGTGGGCATGAGATGCGATCAGCACGGACAGACGACAGACACAGGGTGTTTAGGCGTATTGTTGGATGTGCCAATGCCTGAATTGTTGGATGTCAACCTGAAAACCCCACCCTCAACCAGTTCGACACAACTCTTTTGCCACTAGATCGTCGAAATGGTTGAACCTTCGGCCTGGGACAGATTTCGAGGCCACCAACGAAGAATTTAAGCATTTCGTGGAGGAGTTTGGAGGCACCTCCGAAAATGCGCGAGAGTGAAGACGGGAAGGTGCAGGTGTTGCATGTGTTGCTGCTCAGATCGACACGATGGTCCTTTTTTAAGTTTCCTAGAGCTTGATTGAAATTGCCAACTTCCTCCAGTCAGTCGACCTGAACACCAAATGAATCCAAATGAGAAGAGTGAGAAATGTGCATGGAACATGTTGCACTTTAAAAAAAGAAGCTACTAGGCTGGAGGCCATCGCTATTAGGTTGGAGGCCATCGCTACTAGTAACCGAAGCTACAAGGAAAAAAGAAAAGGACCATGTTGGGTTAGTCAAAAGAGAGGTGTTTTTCGGATGGCAACTCCGAGAAGCCGAAGATAAGAGAAGGGTGACGGTGTGAGACTGTGTGCCATGGGAAAATACAGCTGGACAAGCTGCGAAAAATCTTTTGATTGGATGACCTGAGACTGTGTGCCCTTTTTTCTCCTCTCCTCTCCTCTCCTCTCCCCCCCTCCCTCTCTCTCTCTCTCTCTCGCACTGTCAACCATTCCGGCCGTTTCTTCCCACCCTCCACCGCAGCCTCCAACCATGCCGGAATAGACGGCAAACCTCCGTGGTGGGCCCAATCCGTTTGGTAAAAATCACTTTCATCCTTCACTCAGCATAAAGGGGTCTGTCATTTCAGGTTGGAGGCCATCACTATTAGGTTGGAGGCCATTGCTTCTAGGTCCTAGGTTCATTAAAGTATCCTGATTATTAAGATCCAAGGAATCAGACCAAGTTGGGGACCTCGCTCTCACCACCTGTGCCGTCCCTCACCAGGCTGCGATGCGCTCTTCGAACGTCGACGTGCTCGAGCCTTGCGGGTGCCGCGCCTGGTTTGTGCGGCCGTGCGGTTGAGCATCCCAGAAAAAAAGGCAGAGCCCAGGCACATCAGGCTAGTGAACATCAGCCTTTTTGGTGGTTTTGGGGTGTGCATCCAAGGAAATTCCTTGCGAGAATTGACACATTCCCTTGGTTGCTACTAATTAAGTAGAACGAGACCACATAGGGAGAAAGGCAAAACGGCGGTGAATCAAGACATATTTGACAGACTTCTCTCTTTACAGATCCTTCATCTTTGAGGAACACACACATTGTAAGTCAGACCCACCGAAAGATCGAGCATGAGGTGGCATGCAGAAAACTGGGGAAGACACCTGCAAGAGCTTTTGGGAATTGGACTGCCAAGCACTCAAAAGCTAGACACTTATTGACAAAAAAGCATCCCATGCATCCAAGACATCTACTTAGGCAAATATCTCATCCAATGCATCCAGTCAATACAAAGCAAGTTCTTATTAATATATAGCTTAGCTTCGCCACTGTGGGCTCGGCAAGCTCGAAGGAGTGCTTGCCGCCGCCAGGACCGAGCCACCACCAGTGGCTCAAGCACGTCCTTGAGCTCGTTGCCTCGGGAGGAGATCCAGGCACGGCTTCAGTTCCACGTGGGCGTCGCGAACGACGAAGCCCAAAGAAGGAAAAGCGGAACGGTGGAGCCGGATGGAGCCGTTGTTGTTGTTGTTGTCGTTGTCGTTGTCGTTGTCGTTGTCGTTGTTGTTGTTGTTGTTGTTGTTGTTGTTGTTTACACATCCACGAACAAGAGGGCTCCAACTATAATTGGAACAAAAAGAGGGACAACGGCTGTGTCACCGTGTTAATTAAACAGACAAGCTCCAACGTGGGCTCTACTATAATAGGGGCGAGTCTTTGTCACACTGTCCTCCTGCAGGGTCTCGACATTTGGGTAACCCGAAACGGTTTCGCTCTGAAAGAAAAGTGTTCAGGAAAAAAAGACGTAGGCTTTTTGATGCTTTTTGTTGTTAGCGTTGTCAAACATCTCAGGGGGTTTTGTCCGTCGTGGAGATGTGGGAATGTTGGTTTGCAAGATCAGGTCGGGTCATCGTGGATCTTTTAAAGTGGAAGGAACGGGCGCCATAAAAAGGTGTCGGCGTCGTTTTGGCTGAACATCTCACCGACCCCCTTTCTAGAGTGAAAAGACATGAACGGACCAAAAAATGGTGCAGTTTTCGTTTAGATTGACCCAGTTTCCTTTGACAGTGGCTCCAGCAGGTACCTTGGTTCATGTGGAAATCCTCAGCGCAGACGTTGTCCTTGTCTTGAACAGTTGAAGTTTCCATGAGGGTTTGCTCTTTTGGGCCAGAACAAAGTGTGAGTGTTCCATGACGGTCGCTGAAGGGAGGATCTTGGATAGTTTGCATGGTGTCCAGTTGCAGCCCGAGTGGCCTGAAGCCAATTGCTACTTAGTGGTTCATGAATATCCAATCCAACTTGTCAGACTGAAAAAAGGCCGCAACTTCGCGGTCAGGCTTGAGCAAAGCATCTGTCTGTACAACAAGACAGTCGTATGGCAACTGTACAAAAGAGGCAGTTCTGCCATATTTCTTTAAGCATGTCCAACAACCAAACCAATCCTTGTAGCATCGACGTCATCACCTGACTCGTGTGCTTGGAGGGGTTATGGGACATGCAAGCAGTCATGCAAGCAGTCATCGGCCCTTGCCATCACCCTGTGCCAGGAACACATGCTGTGCGCCGGGATTGAGAAAGATGCACAAGCCTACTGGGTCGGATCGCTCAGCTGTTTCGACGAAGCTTCCGTGGCCGGATCCTGAGCACAACCCAAAAAGCCACCCAGGGACACCCCAGAAGGACACCGCAAGGGGTGAGGGGTGAAGGTGGGTTTTTGTGACTTCTTCCAAACGTAACTGGGTCAAGTCAAGTCGCATGGTTGTGTCAAGTCCCCTAGTCGACGGGTGCTTTTGGGGCGACGCAGCAATCCAAAGCGGATGGCCCTCGGTTCACCAAGTTCCCAGAAGTGAAGGCTAGATGCCCTGGTATACCACTTTTGAAGGCTAGACGTCGTTGCATGTTGCATGCTTCGGGACACGTTAAACCATACAGTGGTGTACCAACTTAATCTTTGTCTCAACTTGACATCGCGTGGAGCGTTGCTATGACATCGCCAAGCGTCTCGTGTTCTTCGAGAGGGATCCTTTTCATCCCCTCTCCACCGGTTCTTCAGACAGTCCAGACCCATGCGACGCGACCACGACCGGGGACCGGGACCAGGAGTTGATTCTGCCTCCCTCAGAGCTGGAGAACGTTTGTTTGCTCACAGGCGTGGTCTCCCCGGGTGGATCTGTTTGCACCGTTCGGTGGTCGAACGTGCCCTGTGCCGGTCTGTGCGGGAAGCTGCTGACACGTCGGTTTCTCCGGGACAGAAGAAACGACATCAAAGCAAAGAACGTGTTTGTCGAAAAAATGACAGCAAAGCAAAGAGACCGGCCACATCTCTCTGGTGGCTCACCAACCGAACCGGCTGGCGCACCAGACTCCGCACCGACCGAGTCGACGGAATCGACGGGTGGGAGACACGAGCAGCGCAGCTCAGTAGAACTTCCGCTGAGCAACTCCGCGCTTACACCACAGCGATGCCAAGAGTGGAGCGATGCCACTTCCGATACAGATAGTGTGGTGTTGTTTTGTTTTTGTGTGTGTGTTTTCTTTTTTTAAGAGAAAATGATGAAAATGTGGGTCAAGTGCGGGTCCATTCAACCAAGCCTATAGCGATCTACCTTCCAATATCTTCCAATATAGAGGTGTCTCCAATCACCGTTTGTCCGTAACCATCGTTTTCAAGAACCACCGATGAATCCCCCTCTCATCTGTTATCCACCCGATGCCTGGGTAAGGTTCAAACATGTCGGCTTCAAACACTCCGCCACTCCGGTCGCCCTTCTCCGATCCGCACGGGGGGCATAACAACCGCGACCTGCCGTGCCGTGCGCCGCAGGCTGTCAAAAGAAAGCCGTGTGCAACATCCGGCAGATTGCTAAGGTGGCTGGTCGCTTTGAGCGTCTGACCTTGGGACATCTCATGGGACCGGAGGTCGGCTCGATCATCTGACCAACGGCGGATCGGAGGGCGGGGACGGAATCAGGGGTGCCACAGGGAACGGTACCACAGGCCCCACATGTTTGTTTCAATCTCTGTCTCAATCCATCGAACCCCCTTTTCCGCTGAAGAAATACCGCAGAACAAGCCCTGCTGACACTTCATGAGAGGTGACTTGGGTATACTTGGGTGATCCAGCAGTTCTCATCTCAAGCTTTTCGCCTGTTTGGGGATTCAATGGGATCACAAACCTCTTGAAGGGGTCTTCCCCTCCCCGAGTGCGGTACCGCGTCACCGAGGCACGGCCCCAGCGACCGAGGTGAATCACCGTGACGGCACCGTGACGGTTTCGTTCGCACGGCCGGTAGCGATGCCCTTGTTACTATAGTAGCGATGCCAGGAGCCCCTATAGTAGCGTCCTTGCTCCTAGTAAGGCCAGGAGCCCCTAGTAGCTTCTTGTTACTAGTAGTAGTAGTAGTAGTAGTAGTAGTAGTAGTAGTAGTAGTAGTA